TTTCCAGTACCACACATGGTCTTCCTTGTTGAGCAAGTCTTAAGTCAAATTAGATAGTTGTTGGTTACTACTACAGTATACGTGCCACTACTCCACCCTCATGGTTGTCCTGTTATGCTGGTCATTGATGTGATTCATAGGTGTCATAGCAGGACAGGACTATTGGTTGCCTCCCTCCTTAGGAAGCTTGTACAATGTCTTCTGGGCCCTGTTTCTGAAGTACATGGTGTCTTCATTAAAATATGTAAATATAAAATACAAATTTATTATTATTACTATTATTATTTCTTTTAGATAAGGTCTCAGTATGTGTTCCAGGCTGGCTTCAAACTCATTGGCTTCCTACTTGAGTCTCCTGAGTGCTAGCTTTATGGGTATGTACCACAACACCAGGCTTTCTTTGAAGTTTTCAAAGGCAAACATCAGAACAGAACTGGAGGCACTAGCATGTTTTCCTCGTTAACGCTTAGACTAATTATGTTTGAACTGGTAGACAGGCAGCTCAAGGGCAGAAAAAGAGTGTAGCTATTACAAGTGTTTGGCATTTGAGACATCAAGCTCACAGCAAAGCTTCTGACTCATGTCTGGAATCAGCGCAGTAGAGAATGAAGAGCACCAGGAGGGCAAGCACCATTAGTGCTTTCTTCTGTTTTGCTTGCTGTTTCGCAGGGCTGAAGATCTAAATAACTAACATACCTACATTTTGTACATTTACTTAGTACATTCAAAAGTTTGCATATACCCCTGTGGCAGAGAAAGTGGTATAAAGTAAGGAGGGATTTAAAAATCTTAAAGATGAGGAGTGTGGCGTGCTGGAAGTCTTGTCTAACATGCAGGGACTCTGAGTTCTAACCCTAACACTGCCAACATACAAACATAAAATCGAGAAACAACCAATGTTTCCCAACAAGGAGAATGTAGTTTCCTTTGTCTATTATAATTTGGATAATTCATATTGGACTAGTTTCTTTTCTTATCTCTGACCAAATACCTGACAAGCAACTTAAAGAGAAAGGATTATTCTCACGTATCGTATAGTTATTGTTGTTCTCACTTACAGCTTAAGGAATACAGTCAACCACAGCAATGAAGGCAGGGCAGGGCGGAAAGGCAGGCAGACACATAACATTCACTGTCAGGCCATGAATGCTGCTGCTCTGCCTTGTGGTGATATTTTGTTTGTGATCTCACAAATAAAGCTTGCCTGAAGATCAAAGAAGCAAAGCAGCTAGCCACTAGCGAGTTCTCACCTCTACCAATGCTCAGACTGAAGGGGTGATCAACTGAACCTCAGCCTGCACTGTTCTCCACCAAATCTCAGAATGCAATCAGCACCTGTCTCCTCTCTTCTTATATTCCTCTCTAGTGCTGGGATTAAAGACACAGGATCCCAAGTGGTGAGATTTTCTTTGTGTAAGCTCTGTTTCTCTTTTAATACTAGATCATTTTTATGTAGCTCAGGGTGGCCGTGAACTAACAGAGATCCATCTGCTTCTGTTTCCCCAGTGCTAGGATTGGAGGTGTGTACCACCAAGGCCTGACCTCTGTGGCTAACTAGTATGGCTGCTGCTGGCTTCTATGGCTGTGGCTAGCTTTGCACTCTGATCTTTAGGCAAGCTTAATTTGTTAGATCATAAACAAAGTATTACCACTCTTCCCCTTTGTCCTTTTTGTTCAGTCTGGAACCCCATCCCACACTCCAGGGAGGCCTTCTTGTAAATTGGCAGACACAATTTTGGCAATGGTTAATCTTCATTGTCAACCTGATTGGCTTTAGATTCACCATGGAGGAGCACAGCTCTGGGTATGTTTAGGTTTGTCTGGACAGGTTAAATGAAGAGAGACGACCTACCCAGAGTGTGGGCAGCCCTGGCCTGGGGCTCCAGACTGAACAAAAAGGAGAAAGTGGGCACAGCAGCATTTGTCTTCTAATTGTGGATGTAATGTGATCACCTACCTTTCCATCCTACATTCAAGGCAATGATGGTCTGTATTCCTTAAGCTGTAAGTGAGAACAACAATATTATGTAGCCAGTCCTGTCTCTGGCTATCAGCTGCTGCTGATGTGATATCCTGGTCCTTGAAGGAGTCCTACATTGATGTGTGACCAAAAGCTCAGTGAGTCCTGGCTAGATCTTTCTTGCTTTGGCAATCCAGGTGACCACTGTTGCCTTTCTGTACACTCCATAGGAGAAAAATGAATGCTTGTTACTGTAAGTCTGACCAAGAACCTATGGCTATAGAGTTCACGGGCCCAGGTGTGAACTTACTACTATTGCTAAATGGGCATAGTGTTGAACTGCTTTCTAAATTCATATTCCTATACACATCGATGCTGTCAGATATCATCAGATGAGCTGCTTTGTGCACTGAACAGTGGTTAAAAGAAATAATTGTCCAAAATGCAGAGAATAAGTGTCTGTGAAGCATTCATCTACAAATGGGACATCAATATCCCACCATTTCCCAAGGCTCAGAGTCTGTCTTGGAAGAGGGGGTGGAGAAACTGAAGGAGCCAGAGGACAGGGAGGACCAGAGCAAAATTACCTTAGGACTTGACAGGATGACTACACTCAGGAACTCATAGCAGCTGTGGCTACCTGCACAAGACCAAGCCAATTAACATTCCAGCATGCAGAGGGGAGTGGCTCATGAGTCCCACCTCTAGGTGAGGAGTTGTTGACAACTAATGGCTTCTAGGAGCAAGGGGAGTCAGTTTTTCTTTAAAGGGGTATCTTAGGGTTTCTGTTGCTATGAAACGACATCATGACCGTGGCAACTCTTATAAAGGAAAACATTTAATTGGGGTGGCTCACTTACAGTACAGAGGTTTGGTCTATTATCATCATGGTGGGAAGCAAGGCAGCATGCAGGCAGATAGAGTGGTGGAGCTGAGTGAGAATCCTGACATCTTGATCCAAAGGCACAGGAAGTGAACTGAGACACTGGGTGGTATCTTGAGCCTATGTGAGACCTCAAAACCCATCTCCACAGTGATACACTTCCTCCAACAGGGCCATACCTACACCAACAATCATATTGTCATACCCTTTGGGGGCCATTTTCTTTCAAGCCACCACAGGGTGTGTGGCTCCTGGAAGGCCATCAGCCTTCCAGTGGAGTCTCCATATCCATGAATATATAGACAGCACAAACTGGACTTGATGGGTTATTTAAAAAAAAAAAAAGAGGACACAAAGTTGGGAGAAATTAAGGCGAGGAATAGAGGACAAATATAACAAAAATTTAATATATATATATATATGAAATTCTCAAAGATTGTTAAACAAACACACAGTGAAGACTGCAGTATGGAACAGTGATTAAGAGCACTGGTTGATTTTTCCAGAGAACCTAAGTTTAATTCCCAGCACCCACATGGTGCCTCACAACTTGACAACTGTCTGTAACTCCAGTTCCAGAGGAGAGGATCCAACACCCTTTTCCGGCCTCTGTAGGCACCAGGCACACTTGTGGTACATAGGCATACGTGCAAGCAGAAGGCCCATATACTTAAAACAATCATATATTTTTAAAATTTCATTTTACTTCCTAATCAAAGTTCTCCCTCCCAATCCCTCACCACCCCCTGGCCCACTTCTCCCATCAGATAAGGGCTCCCATGGGAGTCGACAAAGCCTGGCACATTAACTTGGGATAGGACCAAGCCTCCCCCCGTGATTAAAGCTGAGCATGGCTCCCACCAAAGGAAATGGGCTCCAACAACCTGGCTCAGCTGTTATAGGCTAGGCTCACAACCAAAAATTATATATATATATATATATATATATATATATATATATATATATCTTTAAAAAGAGAAAAGCTTCTCCTTGTGATGTTGTGAAAGAACATGTGTAAAGACCATGACACAAAGAAATGTCACGCATCTGACACTGTTCCTTTAGGTTTTGACTGTATTTAAGTGGGAGTTCTGAATGCATTTATATTTTACAAATGTGTATCTAATCATTGTGTGAGAAAACACTGAAAGAGGACAATTTGTTCAGAGACTTAAACACTTCATCCAATAGTGCCACTCCTTTTGGGGGGCTATTTTCTTTCAAACCACCATAGTAGCCAAACTTTGCCAATTAATAACAAGAAGCTGTAGGAAAAAATAATTTTCTTTTAATTTTTATACTGGGGATTGAAGCTAGGGCGCTTCATGAAGACTAGGCAAGGGCCCTGCCACTAATGGAAATCTCCAGGCCATTTTTCACTGCTTTTTATTTTGAAGCAGAGTTTCACTAAACTGCCAAAACAGCTTTTGAATAAGCTCCTGTCTTGCCTGGGCCTCCTGAGTGCAGGGACTTGGGTCTGTGCCACCAGACTCAGCAATATGTACTCTTATCTGTCCTGTTCTTTTTATTTCTATATCATCTATTATTTCTATCTTCCAAAGTAATTTGTGCTTAGAGAAAGGGTCATGATGGTGCCCATAGTAGTTTTCCTGTAGCTTAAAAACTATGTGATATATTTCATGGCAGCATTTTTATAATACAGAAATTGAAAACAGATGTTTGTCTGTTACATTGAGTTCAACATTATGTATTTATCACAGAAGTTTTTAAATTTCCTGTTTGAGTAAGATGTAGGCACTATTAGGAGGTTTGGCCTTGTTGGAGGAAGTGTGTCACTGTGGGGGTGGGCTTTGAGGTCTCCTTTGCTCAACTTCCTCAGTGTGACAGTCAGTTGACTTCCTGTTGCCTGCAAGATATAACACTCTTAGCTCCAGGACCATGTCTGCCTGCACAATGCCATGCTCCCCATCATGCTATTGGACTGAACCTCTGAAACTGTAAGCCAGCCCCCAACTAAATGTTTTCTTTATAAGAGTTGCAATAGTCACAGTGTCTCTTCACAGCAATGAAAACCTGAACTAAGACAGATACTAAGGAAATCCCCAAGTCTTTATTGACTCTGACACCTTTATACCATTCAGGTCACAGACACAGTGAACAATCTGAATGCCAAATAAACAGAACTGGAGCTTAGGAGGAGTTTAATATGTGCATTTTATTAGGATGTTTTCACCACTGAGACAGGTGACTTTAGTTTGTTCAGTTACTCTAGCACATACATTTAAAACAATAGTCAAATTCACCACAAAGTGACTGTACCAAGCAGGACTTCGGCAAATTACAAAACAAATATCCACAGGAGAGCTTCAGTAGAAATTCAATTAATTTAGGTCACATCACTGTGCTGCCTTTTGCACTAGAACCCACTGTCAGGTCAGTCGTCGTAGTTGGTGGGGCCGCACATCTAAGTTCTCACAGCCCAGAATTTTACATCATAAACCATTCTAACCATCCCACAACCAGGGGAGCTGCCACAGAACCAATGGGTCTTATTCCAGCTGTCAATTGTAGCAGGCATGTCACCATTTGGCTTTATTCATCTTGTAAAACCCAACTTGTTATTCCTGATTAAGTCATTCTCAGAATGAAACGTAGGAAACTCAATGTGATGTAAGAGCCCAAATCTCATGGCACAGGGTTTTACAGACGCAAGTATGTGGGGAACCTGACAGTAAAGGAACACACAAATGCTTGGCTGCAGTTGTTAATTCTAAACTTGAACTCACCAGGTCCCACCTGGAAGCATTTTCTTACTGTTTTGTTACCATGAGATTAATTCCATATCCATTGTTAGAAAAATTAACTAATAATCAAATTTTAAATAATTTCAAATTCAAATAATTTCCATATTTTAGATTATATGTTACTACATCTTCAAAGTAAAAATTTAAGAATGTTTGTAATATGGGAAATTCATATCATATAACACAAAGAAATCTTTTGACCCTAGGGGGGAAAAATGCCTGAATTTGAAACAGTTGAAAGACACAAGGAATTCTAACAAATGAACAGCTGACAGAGAGCAAGGCTATGTTTACTTCTGAACTGATAAAATATTTATAAATTTATAATTGTAAAATATCATAATACCAAATGACTGGTGACAACACAAAAAAGTTTTTTTATATACTTTATGTAAATGAAAGGCACACATAAATATAACCAATACACTTCCTGTATTACATCATTTATATCAAGCCTACATCCACATGGCAAACTCCCAGCTAAATTCATACTAAAAAGCATGTAAGAACAGACCCTTTCTTTCCACTATTGTACCATTTTTAATAACAGAAGCATGCATGTATGCTTATCACTTAGGATTATAATAAGATATTCTTTAAATTATATTTTAACACTGAGACTTAGAAAATAAAGACAGGTGTATTCTTTTTCATATTGACCTGTAGTTTCATTCAGGTTTGATCTTAAACAAATGTGTGTTAAGAAAGCCTGCAGGAAAGGGCACAGCCCAGCCCCTATGAGACCAGCACTCTATGTCTTATCAAGGAAGACTGGATTAGAGTTTTAAATTTCTTCCAGGTAAAACCGGCATGGGAGTGTATGCCTACATACTCAGCACTCAGGAGGCTGAGACAAGTCTACCCAAACACACACACACACACACACACACACACACACACACACACCACACACCAAACCTCACCACCACCAGCAGCACCAAAAATCTTTTCTAGATGAAACAGGACCAAGGGCACCCAAGGCCATCATCTAGAGATTTCTCCTCATCAAATCTGGAATTCACCCCAATCTATCATTGACTCTCAAAGCCTCCGAACTCCACAAGTTCACTCTCAACCCTAATTTCAAGGGGAAAAAAAAGCAGTAATGCAAAGAATTCAGAACAGAAATGTAGCCTACACACCAGAATGTCATTTTTAAGCTTGAGAATTTTGCTGTGCCCATTAGTTTACAAGTTCTCTGTGCTCTTAAAAGTTGTTTTTATAATTCTGTCCCAACAACTGATTCAATAAAAAAGCGTCTCAGCTCTGCTGGTCTTCCTGTGCGTCTTCATTTCAGACAGTGAACACAGACTGGACTCTTTCCTGTGGGTTTTGGTTGTCTCCTGAGATGGGGTCTTGCTATGTAGCTCATAGCAAATTTCAGATTCTTCTGCCACAGCCTGCTGCATGTTGGAACTGCACATGTAAGCTAACACCCCAGGACAATGTTTTTCTCCTGTCAACTAATGTGCATGAAAAGACCTTAAATTCTTTATTGAGCCTGTTCTAACTAGTATAGGCAAGTAAAGTTAAAATACATTTTCTTCCATTCCCCAAAACAAGATGAAAAAAATTTACTTGCTTTCTACTACATATTTAAAACAAAAGTTAAAGGGAAGAAAACACACCAGACTTGAAGGCATATATATTTCATTATTTTTCTCTTGTTTGTGCCTCAAAATTCCAAGTCATTCTCAACATTCCCTAATCTTTTCATAGCCCATAATTTTACATTTAAATTACCACACAATGTGGTTGCTTCTGTTCTTTGGTTATCCACATAAATTACACATAATAAAATGTCTCTTATAGTTAATTGTTGTAGATACTTTGTTTGGGGGAGAGATGCTGTGGTTCAGGTTTCCCTGGAACTTTCTATGTAGCCCAGGCTGATCTCAAAGTCGCCATCATGACTCTCTTGCCTCCTCCTCCCAAGTCCTGAGATTATAGGCATAGGGCAAGACATCCGACCCCCATTCATATTTTTAATCCATAGTGGTTATCTACTAACAACCACTGATTCTTTACTACAGAAAACTACTCAATTTGTTGAGTGTCCTTCGAGATAAATATATCAATAATTTAAAGCTAACTGATAAAGGCTCCACAAGTCTGTTCCCTTTAATTTTATATTACTTCAAAATATTTATACACTCATCACACATATACCAAATTTGTATGGTTTGTGAAAATAAACTGTAGATTAATTCCAAACGCACATTTAGGGACTCACAGTTTAACAGCAAATTTATATGCGGGTAAAAAGGAGTGCCGTTTTATATTCCTAATTTATATAGCAAGCTGACATGTTTGAATATCCCTTTTAAAAGATTTACTCTTCCTCATAAATCTCAGAAATGAGGAAAATGGAGAGATAAACCTCAAGCTATGTCTATAGCAATGTGAGTCATTGTAATATTATCTTTACTAACAAATGACCCAACTTGCTTACTATGTGCATAAAAGGAGATATAAACATACCATACACAAAAACACAACAACCATCTTACATACATCTTGTCAACAAACACAAACACTGTCAGTGTGTCACTGTACATGTTTTGATCAGAGTCTATACATTCTCCTTGGGAGATTAAGGGACAATTGGAGCTATATAGCATATTTGACTATAGAAAATAGGGATGGATGGGGAAAGGGCTAAAAATAGTTAAAATACACAAGAGAGCTATTTACAAATATATATACACTTTAGCCATATCTTTTGCCTGAAGAAGTTTCTTTTGCAGGGTTAAATTTCCTAATATGTGGTCCAGAGTACAAGATACAGTAACAGGGAAGTTACCTCTTACTAGTTTTCATTTTTACTCCTTGGTACATTTATTAAAAAAAAATAACACTTGTGTGTATTCCTCCCTTGGAATTTCTGCATCTTCCAGGAATACTATTTTATAATAAATCTATGCTTATTCTGCTCTAAAAAATTAAAAATGAAAACAAAAAACATTTTTAATTTGGAGCATCCTACAGGCCTAGGTATTCAGGAAACTGAAGTAGGAAGACTTTTTAACCCAGGAGTTCAAGGCCAGCTAGTGAGAACCATTTTACACAATGAGAAAGAAAAAGAAATGCCTGCAAATAACACATTGATGAGCTACCAAAATTCAGAAAACCTGTTCAACTGAATAAAGGACAAAATCATTAAAAAGAAAACGGATCTGCCTCATAATCTTAAAAACTAGAAAGCCCCGGATTCAATCTCCAGCATCACAAAACAGAAGGCATAGATTTATAATTCATCACGTGTACCATAACTACTTCCTGTCCAACTCAGCTCAGTCTCACAGTGGCTTCACAGCTTTGTCATGGTGCTGGCACTGAGCATGTACAGTGGAACATGATGATGATGAGGATTTATGAAAATACTACTGTGTGCATGGCTGGGTAAGCTTGCATTGTCTTAGGACCTATGAGGTCACAAGGACTCATGGGTACAGGTGGCCTTTTGGGTATTACCAGTTTCTTGATATGCTCACTGATACACTGCTGCTTAGGAACACTGAATCCAGGCTGGAGATCAGGCCCATCGTCCGCTGGAGGCAAAGCTTCTGCTGAATGAGAAGTTTATTTCAGAGTTCTTGTATTTTCCCCAGGCACCAAAGGGCACCACTACCGCAGTGCTGTTGTCTTCCGTGCCATACTGTATTGCCTGCAGGAGCCACGAGGAAGAGAAAAGCAAAGGGCTGGAGTCATTGGACTTCTGTGCAAACAGACAGCATCCTTTTTCTGGAAAGCCAACCGGTTCTACACAGCTAATAAATTCAACTATCTAACAAGGTTTGTGACTGTCTTAACCCTGTATCTGTGTTCCATATGGTTATTAATTGCACATGAATGATAGGTGGTCTGGATATTTCCTGTCCTCCACAGTAGCAATCATGGCAATAGAAACAGCTGTGAACTGAGACTGACCACTGAGCAGCTCCCAAAGAAGACACACCTGAAGAAACCTTTAGCATGGTATCAATCATGGAAAAGCCTTAATACCTGCTAATTCTAACCAACAAAACTGCTCATAAGAATTTAGCCCAAGAAATTAAAGAGCTTTAGAGAGGGATTAAAAAAAAAGAACAAAATATAACATGTTTGTCTGGAAACACTGCTAGAAATCTGCCCCTTTGCATACTAACTTAAAATTTAAAATTTCAGAAGTGCGTATGTACAAAGTTATGACAGAGACGTTTATAGTATTCCTTCTAAAATGGTTAAGTGGGCATAAACTAGACTGCCTGCGGCAGGATTGTAATTCACTTCTAGGGACCAGTTCAAATAGCTGAGTGCTAGAGTCAGTTCTCTTCAGAAGTGCTTAGGGCTGCAGTTAGCACCAAACGGATCAAAAGATCTCAGCCCCAGGGTAAAAGAAATCTGGTATGAATCGTTTCAAGGAATGTAAAAGGTTTACAAATTGCAAGAGAAAAACTTGTTTAAAATGTATCAAGTATGTATCAAATGTACCATTATACTTACTATATAGTTGTTAAAATAACCATTAAAATGGTAATAAAATAATAGGCTAAGAGGAAAAACAAGAACATCAACTTCTTAAAGATTTATTTATTTATTATGAATACTGTGCTCTGCCTGCATGCATGCCTACACACCAGAAGAGGACACCGGATCTCATTAAAGATAGTTATGAGCCACCATGTGGTTGCTGGGAATTGAACACTTCCTCTGGAAGAGCAGCCAGTGCTCTTAACCTCTGGCCATCTCTCCAGCTCCCAAGATATGAGGTATTAAAATATCATTCTGGATGTTAATTCCACCAACAAAAGGATGCAAAGCTGCACAGTAAAATCTCTACTTTTTGTCAACAATTTGTGCCTCGCTCAGTAGGAGGGTGCTCACCCAGCATTCAAGAGGCCCTGTGTTCAAATTCACCATAAGACTCAAGCTAAAGCACTCTACCCCTCTTCTGCCCTTCTGGGATTTTCATCCTCTTCCCTCGGGGATTTTCCCACCAGAAGCTCTGGTAAGTCACCTGTTCAGTCACCGCATGGGCTGCTTCATTAGGATCATGGCACTGGTTGACAAAGTCACAGATCTCTTGACTGTTCACCATGAAGTTAATCCCATCTGTGGTGAGGACCAGGAAACTGTCATCCGCATGGTAGAGCTGCAACAATAGGCAAACATGTCATCATAAACTAGTCTGGGCCTTCGAGTGACTCAATAATGTGGAAACTCTGTTTTGCAGAGTGGTTATCTGGGTCACAGTTCATGGGCAAACTGAAAATGTACCTGAGAATCAATACCACCCAGGATAAACCAAACCTTTACCCAGCAATAGCAGGAAAGAGGTCAGACAGACAAATGCTGCGAGTCTGGATTTAAATGCTGCTTCTGGTATTTGTCTAGGTGAGTGCTTTTTATCACTTGATAGCGTCAGCCCCTTTAATGCTTTAGCTCGTGTTGTTACTTCAACTTACTTCCCTTTAAAGTGAAGATAGTTGTATCTATTTTGAACAGAGGCTGCCACACAGCAAATCTTATATAAGTATTTGTTTCATAAAATGAATATATATTTGACACAGGGTTTCTCTGTGTAACCCTGGCTGTCCTGGAACTATCTCTGCAGACCCGGCTGGCCTCGAATTCACAAAGATCCACCTGCCTCTGCCTCCCACGTGTAGGGATTAAAGGCATATACCATCACCACCGCCTGGAGTGAGATATCCTGTTCAGGCCGCAAATCCTTCCGTGCATTCTGAACATTCATGCCCTGCTGTGTGTGGAAGCCCACATCGTACCACGCTGACTCAAGAGCTCTAGAGAAGCATAGAGCAGGACAAGTGTCATGCTGGCGTCAGTTTAGAGTAAACAGCAGCTATGCTGTTCGAACAGAAATGGCTGACGTTGAGCTGAGTGGAGAAGGCAATCGGAGAATGACTCCCAAACAGAGAAAACGCCTCTGAATGGCAGGCTTTGGGAAAGGATGGGCCACAGAGCCCCTCTACCAGGGGAAAACAAAAGCCAAAGACTTCACTCTCCTCAGACTGGAAACTCCATCTTACTTTAAAAGTTTATTCTTCACACATTAGTGCCCCTTTAAAAACATCTTTCCTTCAGGTACATCTTCCAGCAGCTGGAGGTGAGTCTCTCATTGTGTGAGACTTAGTGTTTCTGACTCCTTCTTACCTTAATCCTTGTTGTCTCAGGTTCTGCTATTACACCACTGGCTTTAAGATCCAAATCTCCAATACTCCTTGTCATTGCAAGTCTGCCATTTACATGGGGCTGTCCCAAACTATTCCAAGCTACAAACCCACCACATTTCTTGATCCTAGTTAAGGAAAAAAGTAAAATTAATGATGATGATGATGATGATGATGGTGACAATGGTATAGGAAATTAAGGCACTGGTTTAAATACCCTTTTTACAAATTGAAATTTGGAGCCTGGAATATCAGCACACACCCATAATCCAGGAACTTGGGAAGGCTGAGAAGCCCATGGTAAATGCCAAAACTTTTAAGTCCTTAGATAAATAAGATAAAAATGAAAAATTTAGGCCACATGGAGTATACACCCTGATAACCCTAGCACTTGAGAGGCTAAGAAAGGAGAATACAGATGCAATGCCAGACTGGATTGCACAGAGAGATCCAGTCTCAACAAACCCCAAACCACCAAAACAAGAATGTCTAAGACGAGGTCGTGGCTATGCACAGTGGTTCTTGCAAAGAGGCCCTGCTGTTTTACAGCAGCACAGAGAGTGAAATGCCACACTCCATTTCTATGGCAACTATACCTATAACCCATAAAATGGCTGGTCATGGTGGCAGTACCTTTCTTTCTCATCCTTTCTTTCTGGGGTATGGTCAGTGGTCAGCTTCATGGGTTTTCCTTTTCTACACAAAAGAGCCCGGCTGTCTCCAACACTGGCTACAACCAGTTCAATACCATCTCTCAACAAGGCTACCGTTGCAGTAGTCCCAGAAGTCAGGAGGCTTGCTACAAATATTAAAAAATAGGGTATCAGTTAGTGATAGAAGTGTTTGGTTATGGAATTTTTATTAAGAATAAGACAAAAGCATGATAACTTAAGGCTGGCATGTACCATTCTAATTTAACAAGAGCTATGCAAATGAAATGCAAACAAACTATGTAAGTAAGACCATGCAGAGAAACAATTATTTGATACAGTAGCAAGGCTCCATGCAAACAGAAAGGTGGGTAAACTAAATTGGTGAGCAAAGCATCAGTGTCTCTAGGTGCTCTGTGTGTGTAAAGCAGGGCTGACTGAAACTCACAGTGATGATGCCTTTGTGTGCATAGTAGGTGTCAAAACAAAACACGAAAATGTCACTAATCTGGCTGCTATGACAGGCTGGCAGATCTGCGGGGCCCATTAGGTGAGCTGCCTTTCTAAAATCATGAGATTTGGATTACACTCTTCCATTCCTTACTCCTGTCCAGTCAAATGGTACCAGTTAATAGGTAAGGAGAGAAATGCCAACTAGAGACCATTTGCTCTGCAAGTACTACAGTGTACATTCTTACCTTCTAGAATTAAGTCATTTTATAAAAGTACACACACACATACAAAAACAAACAAACAAACAAACCCAAAAAACAAACTAAAAATCAGTTGAAGAACCATATCCTTTTCTGGTTTGGGTCTTTGTTTGCTCTATAACTGAAGAAAAGTTATAGTCCCCCTTAGATTACAGATCTGAGTGGTAAAGAATGAAATTCATTCCAGTTCCTCATAAACATGGCATTCTTAACACTATTAGCTCCAAAAGTATCTGATTCCAGAATCTGTAGTCAAAAGCAGATCAGCATAGCCAGCTGCAACTCCTGCAGCCCTGCCTGGTCCAGAATATGTCAGCAATGTGCCTCTTCTCTGCCATTAAGGAAAGCCCAACATTACTAGGCTTGAGGTTGCCACTCTTTTCTCACCCAAGCCAAGCACATTTGTGTGTCTTTGATTTATTCTAACACAGCATCATCTGTTCTGTGTTGTTTACCACTCACTAAAAATGTTTAAGATGCATTGAGCCTTGTGGAAAGTGGGAATGCTATGAACTATGAACCAAAGAAAAATATAGCAAAGTGGAAGAAACTGAGAAGTAAAGCAGGGATTATCTCTAGTAACATTGTTAATTCTTTAAAGCACTGTCAAAATTTCAACTGGATTATTTTTTATTTTGTAGTAATAATTCCACATCCAATCACTTGACTGTTGCTCTATGTAATAACATTTGTAAGAAGTCTCTTGACCATCCAAAGGTGACTTCTACTCTGTAAGTTGATTCAGAAAACTGTAAGAGACTTAACTGACAGTTAAGTCTTTCCAAGATTTTTTTTTTTAAACTTCACCAATACTGCATTTTAGAAAGAGATGAGAACATTTTCCAGTCATTATATTAGAATGCCTGTTTTATTCAGAAGTACAATGGAAAAGCATGGATAAAGTTTACTCAGTCTTTTGAGGTCATGCTAAGCTTACTCAATTGAGAAACAGCGTCTACAGTTGCACTATCTTTGATCTCTTGCACCTATTGATCTCTTGGTTTTGGATCAAAGCAATGCTAATATGTCACAGCCATGTTAGGATGTATGTCAGCGCGTGACATAAATGTGTTAACAATAAAGACTAGTGGTGATTATTTTACAGGCGTTCTAACTTTCAACTTGATATCAAAAGATGACACAACAGTGGAACCTTCACAGTTCAACCAACTATATTATTTTCAAATGACTTTAAAAGGCAAAGAGAAGACAGGCATTTATTAGATGCTACCAGTCCAGAGGATTCTGAACTCTTTCTTTATGTTAGCTGTCAGCAACAGCTTTCTATAAAGGGATCTTTAAGTGAAGATGTCAAAGGATTAACATTTTATAAATGCAATTTGAGTTTGGGTTGTAGTTCCCAGCTCTCTCACCTCTGAATTTAAAAGAGCTTGGGCTTTTATCAACTCACCTTCACAGTTTCAAAATCTCAGGATATATGGGGAAAGTTTCAAAACTAACCGTTGATTCTGGTTTGCTACGCATCTAAGAATATAAATAGTGAATCAGCACTTATTTCCATTTAACAGTTAACACAGAGATAAAAGTACTCACTGTCTGCCCTGACAACAAAACTAGAAAACTAAGACATTTTTCAGTAAGTCTTCACACTCACTGGTTACTTTCCACTGCAAGTCGCCTCAACTACCAAGCAAGGAGGAAGTGGGGATGCCCCAGTAGTTTAGACTAGGAATGGCTGCGCTCTTTCACCTGAGACAAAATGAAGCAGATCTCTCTTTCCACTGAAGCCCAGAATATAGTGTCCACAGGCTCCAGGTCTAGAGCCGCTGACCCACAAACAACACGCACCAGAGGCAATTTTCTAGGAATTTCACCCAGAAATTACACTCAAACATAACCAACCTGCAACACAAAGGAGAGCAGAGAAAGAGTTGCACTAGAAGGGGAAGGGTTTCTATTGGTGAAAACTTCACTTGCAAATTACATAACATTCCAGGAGATGCCAAATCAATGACTTCAAAACTCAGTCGCTTCAAGTTGACAGTGTCTGGTTGTTGATCTATTTTTTTTCCATTAGATTAGCATTTCTCAGAGTGTTCTATGAAAAAAAAAAAACCTATTCACATATGCACCTGTGTCAAAACACACCAGTGGTCACACAGACATGTATGTGCACATGCACACACACAAAATCTTGAACATAAAATAGTTCAATATTTTTGAGTCAGAAAAAAATGCTCTGTAAATTTAGCTCATGGCAATACTAAACCGCCACCTAAACAAAATAATTTGTATTTTACAAGTAGTACATAGAGGATGTATGTGAACTACAGTTTACACTAGCTGCCTGGGGTTTCAATATACATGGAGAAGCAATCAGAGCACTTCCTACGCCAGAAAAGGACACAAGACATTTTTTTTTCATCACACACAATGTAGGACTTTAGTATGGGGAAGAACTGTTTCCAGCTGAATGACTTAAATTCATTGTTTATATGAAGGCCAATGTGGTTCTTGAATGACAATGCATGTTTATAACTTTATGTAACCATAAACTGGTGTTTCTGCTGCACTCTCTCTTTCCCCAGTGTGGCAGGTTGATAGAACAGAAGAAAAATAATTGAAATTTGGAACAACAATATTAAGTAAAATCTAACACCACCCCCAGTAATTATTAAGCTGTGTAAAATACATATAAACCTATATTACTGCGAAATTTATTAAAAATGGGTATTCTTGACATGTATGACTCATGAACACCAAAGTCAAATTAATGACCTGAAGCAGTAATAAATAACACAATAAGAGCAACTCTTCAGAGCTGTTATTATTTATTTTCTATTTGGTGACCTCCAGCATAAGAGGAGTATTTAAAACTACTGTGCAGGGCTAGAGGTATAGCTCAGTGGTAGAGTACTCGCCTAGCATACCTACAGCCCTGGGTTCAATCCCAGCACAGAAAACAAATTTACCTTTACAGCTAATGTTATCTTGGATTTTAGTTCTCTACAAGGAGCTACATGCGAAGAGAACAGAATTTAAAGCTCACAGCAGTGCCCACTAATACCTCCAGTTGAATCGAAGCAATGTGCCTCCTTCTGATCCTTCATCCCCTAGGAGCATGGCTGCTTTCAAAGTGTAACCCTTGTACAGTTCCAGCAGGAACAGGATATATAGCATCATAATCTGTGTTTGCTACCATCTGTTTTGTTTTAAGTGGCAATTTGTAAAAAATAAGGTGATGGGTATGTGAACTCATTGGTTGGTTTCATTAAGTGTAAAAAATACACTGCTAGAAATTGAATTTAAAATTTTGAAGGTGATGCTAAAAGGGTTGGAGATCCAGTTCAGTACAAGAACAATTGTCTAGAATGTATGAGGTCTGAAAAAACAAAAAACAAAAAACATTTCCCACTTCCTGGACTCACAGGAAGGGCTCAAGAGAAGTGAAAGTAGGGCAGATGCTAAGAGATGAGAAAGACAGGAAGTAGAGAGGGTGACTGTGGTCCTATAGAATGTTTGCTAGTTAGCCCTCTCTCTCTCTCTCTCTCTCTCTCTCTCTCTCTCTCTCTCTCTCTCTTTCTCTCTCTCACACACACACACACACACACCAAAAGAGTACTATCTACTTTTAAAAAACACTAAAATAGTGCCTCAATTCAATATTCCAACTAAAAATTTAAAGTTGAACAACTTTGAAATCTTATGTGAGATACATCTAATTTTCCTCTAATCAAATCCTGAAAGGCTAGCACACAGTATTAGGTCTTCAGTAATTTTAATTTATCATCTGAAAGACATCTACAAATACATCTTTGAAATAGTCCTCAAACTCTGGTTTTTAAAAAGCATACAATATGCACACCAGTGCACAGCAACTCTGTTCTAACCTTTTAAACAGTGCTCTAGGCACCTGCATATCTTGTTCCCTTACACTTCTAATCAGTTCTTCATTAAAAAAAAAAGAATCAATTTTGAGACATCTTTATGCAGTTCTGAAATGATCCCAAAGGACGACAGAGCAACTAAGCTAAGCAATATATCTTAATTCGGTTATTAGAAATAAATGATATTTTATTTATTGTGTGGGTCATCTAAAGAGTCTCCTTAAGACATAAACGTTAAATATTATAAGTTCAAAACCTCCTGAATTATATTATTAAAAATAAATGTTTTTAAATTTGACACTAGTCTAATAATGGTGGTTTTAATCACCAGCATTGATTATACCACTTTTAAAAAGCTTGATTGCACTCATGAAGGGTTAATATATTCTAGTGTTGACCATATGCTAATGTCCTTGAACTTTGTGTCCTACAAACCACAGGCAGTAAATACAGCTGAGGCATAATACTGACACTACATCCCATAAACACCATGCTGGAGATGCAGCCAAATTCACAGTCAACTTAGTAATGGATAAGAACACACCAAAATGAGTATTTTAAACATGCTGGGCATAATGGTGCATACCTTTCTCTGAGTTTGAGGCCAGCCTGGTCTACATAGCCAGTTCCACGCCAGCCAGGGATGCTTAATGAGACTGTGCCCCGACCCCCAAAGAGTAAAACCATGAGAAAGTGTTTCACTTCCTCTTTAATGTGCTTTACTCTTTACAACTTTTGTGACTTACAAAAGCTAAATCTCAAGCGGAAACTTCACTATCTGTCAACACCTCACTCAATGGAGGGGGATGGAATTTTGGGAGGAGTGGTGTGGAAGGAAGATGACAAAAATGGCGTCAAATGATTTACCAAGTGAAAACTACTCTCTAGACAAATGGAGAAAGAATGGGCCAAGAAGTGCCCTGGGGACTGTGATGGCAGGGTTCTCACCATGAGTGGGAAGGGGCCAGAAAAGTAGCTCAGTAGTTCAGAGCTTGCTGGCCTAGCATGTTCCAAGGCCTTGGGTTCAACAAAGGTGGGTGTAGGGAGGCTGATACACTCAGCTTTCCTAGGGTCACCCTTTCCCCTGTTTTGTTATTAAATACACAAAAGAACAAGGCCCTAGTCTCAACTAGTCATTTCTTCTCTTTGAGTGGAAGCTCCTTGTGTGTGAAGTAGGGAGAATCTCCATCTAGCTGGAGATGGCATCCTGTGGTGCACTTTTCTTATTAAAGGAGGTTTTAGAAGTTAACTTTATTAGAAATATATTTCTGGTGAGCTAACTACAACATATTGGATATATTTTCCTGAAATTATTTTGATAAACTTAGTCAAAACAAGAAACATTTACTTTTAAAACTTATATACAATACATGATTTTTTAAAAATAACTTACCATGTCCTTCTTTATACTTAACAAAACCAAAAACATCAATAGTTACCACAGGAAATCAGCAAGATTGAGAAAGAGAAGACAAATATCTCCCTTCTGACTGTACAAATGGATGCTAATTAGCCATTTTCTATCATACTTAGGACCTATTGCTAATATTCTTCATTAAAAAAATACACATTCATTTATTTTGCATGTGCATATATGTGTTTAAGTGCATGAGGACATGCCACGGCACATATGTGAAGGTCACAAGCTAACATATGGAAACCGCTTCTCTCCTTTCCCCATTTGGGTCTTGGGGCTAGAATTCAGGTGGTGAAGCTTGGTAGCAGGTGTCGTTACCCACTGAACCATCTCTTTGATTCCCTATTGTACATGCTGAATAATTATCAACCTTGCCAATGAGATTGTCCTGTAGTGTTTACACTACTGGTGTGGCAGGGGGATGAGATCCTCTTAGTATGGACATCTTGTCCATAAAAAATACAATAGATTGAAACATTTTAAAATCTTTGTAAAATTAAAATTCAGAACCACTTTGGAGCTTCCCTTTCTGAAAGGTCATTATTGAACATTTAAGTGGGGCCCTGACATAAGCTCAGATTCTAAGCATCATTTAAAAGGATTCTTTGTATAAAATTATTTCTATAAAAACTCCCTACAAATAAACATGCATTAAGACTCCTACCACTGAAGGCCTTCACTGTGTCCTCTTTCCCTGCCAATCCTCAAGGGTCAGAGGCATGCCCAGGCTCACTTACCATCAGCAGACAGGTGGGCATAACTGGAAAAGGCTTTATCTATTTCTAGAAAGGCCAAGGTCAGTACAGTTTCCAAGTCTTTCTCCCGAGGCAGTAAATCCCTTTGTGGAGAGGAAAGAAAGCTGCGATCATTCTGCAAGAGTTGTCTCTTCTTACAGTCAGTCCCCAGCATCACTCTACACAAGACATCACCGCTTTCCTCTCAGACACTTTTGCCGAACATCCAAGGGTTAAGGGACATTCATTGGTCTCTCATGAACCGTGGCACTCTTAGGCTGAGGATCATGCCATTAGGCCCTGGGTATGTGGTGCTGGAGGTGCAACTCAGGGCTTCCTGCAAGCTAGGACTAACTGAGCTACATCAAACCTGAGGCTTTTTAAAGGCATGAAAATATAGGTCTGGGGAAGTGGTGCTGGTGATCTGTATGTAACACTAAGACTTAGGAGATGAGGGCAAGAGGATCAGGAGTTCAAGGTCATCCTTGTTTTTATATAGTCAGTTCTAGCCCAGCCTATGATATGTGGCTCTATCTCAGAAAAACAAACAAAGCTATCTGAAGACCGGTCATTGTCT